TGACTTCAGCTGTGTGAAACGCAGCCCCATCTGGAGTGGGGGTGGCTTGTGACTTTTGCTCCGGGAGTTCCATAGAGTCTGCTCATGAAATTAGAGAAGCCTGTAGCATATGATTGTCCCCGTCCCACTCGGAGAGAATATTTTGAGCGGTCTAATTATATGGTAGGGTTTAGAGGGAAGAGGGTTGTAAGAGCAGGTTGGAAAGGGCTGCGCTGGAGCCCTGGCGGTTCCGTGGGGTGAGGGCACCCTCTGCAGGTGAAGCTGGGTAACTGCAGCCACCGCGTTCCCCGTTAGCCTTGGGCACATGCCCGCAGCACTGTGTCTCCCTAACTGAAGAGGGGACCTCCTAGCTCCGTGACTTAGGGAAAGTTGTTGACCCTCCTGAGGCTCAGTTGCCTCAACTGTAAATGAGGGACAGCAATCCCTACCTCGTGGGGGTTCTAATGGTTAGAGAGGGAAAATGTACCCAAAGGGCTCTGCGGAGAGCCAGGCAGGCACGACGTCCCCCAAAGGTGGCAGCTACAAGCAGCAGCGGCAGCCCCGCATCACTGTCACCAGCACATTGAACAATAATGGCAAAGATGACCACGAAGTGCCTTCACCAGGACAAAGAGGACCCAGGATATTTGCTCCTGGTTCCCTTGACTGACTCAGTCCTCTGGTTTCTCTTAGAGAACACCGTCTTTACTTCCAATGTTGACATTTACTATGGATTTTGGCATGTTTACTGTTTTAATAGTGCATTAAAATATTATTTATCCTAATGACCAAGTTGTTTGGCCCTCTTAAATTTTGCACACTCATCTTGCCCTAGTCCTAACCCAGATATTAAAGTTGCCTGAGTCTCCACTGAGCTCCCTGCTCCCCTAACCACCCACCCCACCCCCAGTCTCTCCCTTCACCTTCTGCAAAGAACAGGGACAGCGCATCCTGTTTTTATTGACTCCTTCATTCAGCCAACAGCCATCAATGCCTAGCTACTATGGGCTAAGTCCCAGGACCTCTTTGGAAACAAACATGAGTTTGTTCATTCACTGAGCATTTATTGGTCCCCTGCTATGTGCCAGGCTCCGGGGACACAACAGTAAACAAGATAGACATAGTTCTTGACTGCCGATGTGGGAAGTGAGGACAAAAAACATATTCATAAGGAACTAAAATTAAACTTGCAGATAGCAATACATTCTATGAAGAAAATTAAGTGAATGGGCCCTGGCTGGTGTGACTCAGTGGACTGAACACCGGACTGCAAACCAAAGAGTCACTGGTTGGATGCCCAGTCAGAGCATACGCCTGAGTTGCAGGCCGAGTCTCCAGTAGGGGGCGCGCAAGAGAAACCACACATTGATGTTTCCCTCTCTTTCTTCCTCCCTTCCCCTCTCTAAAAATAAATAAATAAAATCTTTTAAAAAGAAAATTAGGTGAATGGACCATGCCCTCAAAATGCCCACAGTCTGGGAAGACAGACATATAAACGGGTAACTGTTAAACTGGGTGTGTGTGCACTGATGGCAGATACAGGGAACTGATGAGGGTGGCGAACCGGTGATCTCTTAAGGGAAGAGAAAGTTCCAAAATGATGAGGAACTGGCCATGTGGGAAAGAACTTTAAAGGGCACTTTCAGATCCAAGGCATGGAAACAAGCCCTTAAGGCATGGAGGTGAGGGATAAGGAGGGAAACAGGACGGGCTTTATCACAGTGAAAGATGCAACTGGAAGGGCCAGTGGATGGGCCCATCCTGGAAACCTGGGACGCTGTGCTGGGAGCTGGGGGGTGACGGCACGTGGCCGGGGAAGAGTCAAGGGCCACACCAGGTTGCTGGCTTGGAAACTGGAGAGGTGGCGGTGCCGATAAGAGGGGAGCTACGAGCTCCTCGGGTGGTAGGTACAGTCGGGGGCAGTTTGAGTTTTAAAGGCCACTGGGCCATGCGGATGGAGATGCTCAGGGGACGACTGCACAGAGGGAAAGGGTCAGCCAGAGAGATGGAACAGAGCAACAGTGGGGGCAAATGACATCCTGACTTTTGAATGAAAAGGCCCCTGGGTCCCGAACCGGAGGGATTAACTGGAGCGGGGTGGATTTTCCTCAGAGGCAAGTCACCCAGGCAACAAAATCATCTGATATTCCCCCTCCCTTAAATCCAGCCCTCCTTAGCCCTCTGGCTGCGTGGAATCCACCCAGTTTACCTTATATCGCAAGACACTAGAAATAGAGTTGATTGTATAAATGGCGATGCTTTTGGTTTTGATTTTTAATTCTGCACTTGGTTCCCAAGCCCTTTGAGAAGAAAGAGCTCCTGAAGCAAGATGCCCACCCAAGACTGCTCAGCTTTCTTGTTATCCAAAGGCCAAGAAAGTCTGTAAAGCGGGGACAGTTATTCCAACCCAAAGGGTTGTTATGAGGACTAAAGGAGACTGTTTATACAAACACATTCGTAAACGATGAGGTTCAGCATAAACTTAAAGCATCTAGCAGACTCGTGAAAAGCAATACTTCAATTGCTAGACAAGTGGAAGCAAGCAGAAAAACCTTGGGTCTTATCACAGGACACTTCGGGCAGATAAGTCAGGAGCTGGCCATGAAAACCTTTCTAAACCTTTCTGCAGCTGCGCCTTTCTGGAATCCCAAAGTTCAGGGCGGAGGTACAGCCACCCAGGAATTTATTCCTCCATCATTTTGAGCTCCCCAAATCCCCACGAAGCCCAGGGATGACATGACTGCAGGGAACGTGGGCCCTTTGGCACCAAGAACCCCTTCATAAATCAAGGTCTCAATTCCGCTGGCCTCAGACTGTGTTTTCCAAGGTGACCTAGGCAAAGTAAAAGGGTAGCCACTTACCTAGGAGTGGCATCTAACTTGGAGATGAAAGAACCCTGAAAATGCCAAGAGGACCTGTTACTGGAAAGGCGACTGGCCAGGAGTAGGTGTGTGGGTTCAGGGCCGTGGTCCCCCCTGATTGGTCGGTGCCAGAGCATGGGATCATTAGTCATTGCAGCTGGTCCTGGTGTCACCCACCTAGTTTTCTGCTTTTCTGGGCCTGGGGTTGAAGTAGCTGAGACTTAGATGTTATCTGTTGGGAGGTAACCTTCTATATCTGGCTATTAATTGCATGGCCAGCTTGTTTAGCTATCTGTCTGTTTATTATTCCACTGGTCCTGGCTTACTGGCCTCTCTCAGATCAATTTTCTTTTTTTTTTTTTTTTAGATTTTATTTATTTATTTTTTAGAGAGGGATGGGAGGGAGAAAGAGAGAGAGAGAGAAACATCAATGTGCAGTTGCTGGGGGTCATGGCCTGCAACCCAGGCATTTACCCTGACTGGGAATCGAACCTGCGACACTTTGGTTCGCAGCCGGCACTCAATCCACTGAGCTATGCCAGCCAGGGCTTCAGATCAATTTTCTAGAAACATGTCCCTTGGAGAAAGAGGATACTCTTCCTTCATCTCAGAAGACAATTTAGCCAGGAGAAATTAGTGGGAGAGTGACAGTGTTCCCATGATTTCAGCCAATTTGGGTGGCCCAAGAGGCCCCTTGGGGAGACTCGGAAGAGCCCTATTCCAGAGCTGGGTCAACCCCAGTGAAAGTCAAGGTGACCTTGGCCTTGCCAGCAGTCACCCCCAAGGCAGCCCCCCAAGACTGCCATGTGAATCACAGAATCTTAAGTCGGCTGGCCCAACAGCCTGTCGATACAGGCAGGGACACAATAGGCCAGAGACAGGAAGAGACTTGTCCAAGGTCACCAGCTTTGAGGGGAGGATTCAAGGTTAGACCCAGGGCACCAGGCTATTTCTCCTGGCCTCACCACACCCCTCCTTCATGAGGCCACATGGCAAGGTAGCCAGGTTGCGGCCCAAGACTTTGAAAACTTAGCCCCATGCAACCAATTTGTCTGGCCACTTTAATTTCTCCAATAACATCTAAATGAGCTATGAGAGTAGAAACCAAAGAATATGATAAGGTGCCCTTCATATGTCAAAAACAAGTGGGCAGAGAAGGAAAAACATCATTCCTGAGAAACACAGGTACCTGCAAAGTCAACTACCTACGTACCTAAGTGCCTGAGGACACTGATGAGACCAAGGGACTTACAGGACTGAGGCCACACCCTGCCCAAAGTAATCAAGCGAGGCACATTCCAAGGTGACCCTTAGACGGGTCTGAGAAAAAGCAGCTCAAATACCTAAGATGGAGACAAAACACTCACACAGCTCTGTCTCACAGGCTGTTGTGGGATTAAGTAAGATGGTGGGCCGTAATGTTTTACACACAGTAGGCGTTTAAGAAACGGTTTCTGACGCTAAATGGCTAACTAAGCCACAAAGGGCTGAGTTCCCTCCTCACCCCTACTTTACAGAATGGAGCTTAGTGTATTGTAATTGTTACTTGTGTATCAGTAAATCCAGTGAGGGCAGTAACTGCGCCTGATTTACCCACGCACTTACTGTAATATCCCAGCACCTGGCACATAGCAGCATTCCATACATATTTTTTAATGAGTGAATGCATAACACCTCTATCGTCATCTTTGAAATCCCCTGGTTCATTCACCAACCCTCCCAGTTTGTCTGGGAATGGAGTTTCTGAACAAGAGACTCGGGACTCTCCGTGCCGAATCCTGGACAGTCTCGGGCAAACCGTACTGTGTCCTACTAAAGCCACTAAGCGACAGAGAATGAGTGACACGACTGACAAATTTCCAGAGAGGGCTTAAAATTGAGAAAGGATTCAGATCGGATGGCTCCGCCCCCTTATAGTCTTAGTCCCACCCCTTCTACCGCCCTCCCTCTCTAACTCCGTCCCCTCCTTGGAAGGTCACCTTAGAAACGCGGGAGGCCAACTGGGCATGCGCCAGACACGCCGCCACTGCGCACGCTCTCATTGGCTGTCTGCCTTCCGTCTTCCCGCCCGGGAAACCGGAAGCCGCCTCCCTCTCTGTGGCTCCTACGCGACTAGCGGATCTAGGGCGGACGTTGGCTTGGCCCCTCTGTGCTCAGCTGGACTGCCGACAGAGAGCGACCTCGGGGTTAAGGGGTGGGGCTCAACGTCAGAAGCCAAGATGGCGGCTGTGGCCAGAGTGTCCTTGAGACCCCGGTTCGCGGCCACGGCCCTTGGCGGAGCCTGCCTGCAGGTGAGCCCCGGGGTCGCAAGGAGAGTCCAGGCACGGAGGTCACGGAGATGGCCTGGAGCCGAGGGCGCCGCGGAGGAGAGGGAGGGAGCGCAGGGCAAGGCCTCAGGGAGGGGGAGACCGCTCCCACCTGCGCGGTGCTCTTGGTGGTTCTGGAGCATCCCTGTCATCCCCCTGCTCCTTGTCGCAGCCTGGGAGGTGGTGAGGGCGAAGGCGATTTTTAGAAATAAGAAAAAAAGTTCAGAGAAGGACTGCAATTGGCCAAGGTCACATGGCAAGTGAGTGACAGGTGGAAGCAGAACTCGAATCCAAACATTTGGGCTCCAAGCCCTTTTTCTGCCACCAAACTGCCGCCTTTGCGGAGAGTGTGAAGAGGGACAGGAACCCGGACGCGCGATCACTCTTTCAGGGGATGCATGGTTCGGGGCTCAGTCTAGAGGGACTGGAACCCTGGAACTGGAAAGGAAAGGGCGAGTCCCCGAAGGGTCTGAACCCTTTCCTGCTAGGGGTGCTGGGGGAAGACTTGGTTCCTTAAAGCAGTGTCCTCCTTCCTCTCGGTGTCCCCGCCTGTAAACGGCCTATAACAGTAGCGACCTCAGAGTTTGGGCACGGATCACACGGGTACGGAGAGTGGCACTGCCCTGTTGTATTTTATTCCGTGTGCGGTGATGGGTTTCCCACGCCTCTTGTGTTGTCAGGAAACGACAGCCTTCTGATCTGCATTCTGAGTGGGAATGTTTAGAAGAGGACAGGGCATCGCCATTGCATGTGTAAGGGACTGAGAATTTACAAGCCATGTTCAAGTGTGTCCTCCTCGGGGCTCTTCAACCACCGCGGTAAGGTGGGCAAGCAGGAATTCATGCCTCTTTTTGAAAGATTTGAAAACCAAGGCTTCAGAAAGAAGTTTTTACTTGCTGAGAATGTCATGGCCAAGAGCTGGTAGATCTAGGATCGAAACCTCATTTTTTTTTTTAAAACATAGCATGTAAGAAACTCCTAGCACACATCTGGGCACATGGAAGGTGTACGGAAAGTATTTGTTCCTCTGCCTTTCTTGCAGTTACACGAGAATACCCTTCATTTTAAGGGCCTGCTCCAGCAGCATAACACAATGCACATGGCATGTCTTGTAATGCTGGCTCTGTGCTTGTAATGCTGTATGCGAACTTGGACAAGTTCGTTTTATAGTCTTTCTGAAAAGGGGAAGTAGGGAAAGAATTCTGCCTACCCGGGACTCAAGATGATGAGTTCTGAGCATTAAATTGGTGATTTTTTAAAAGATTTTATTTATTTTTACAAGGAGAAAGAGAGGGAGAGCAACATCAGTGTGTGGTTGCCTCTCGCACGCCCCCTACTGGGGACCTGGCCAGCAACCCAAGCATGTGCCCTGACTGGGAATAGAACCTGTGACCCTTTGGCTCACAGTCCAGCGCTCAATCCACTGAATCACACCAGCCAGGGCTAAATTGGTGATTGATCATGACCTTGTTTACCTGGTAGTTGTCAACCTTACAGTTATTGAGCAAGCCGTTAAGTTGTGAGAGCCCCACCAATGAGAATGAGTTCTAAAGCTCAGGCCCCTCTTCCAAGAGCAAATTGTGGAGGCTAGTTTGCGTAGGTCAGTGTTGTAATTCCAGGTGAGGCCATTGTAGGGCGTCTTGAGGGCAGAAAAATAGAAGAATCCCTCCCCCCACCCTCTTGTAGGAAGGTACCGTCTCATCCACAAGGACCACTGCAAAAGAATTCAGCCGGTCATGAGTTTGGTGTGTTACCTGTGGGTGACACTCAGGCTCCTAGGACTGTAGGACACAGTAGGGTTTCTCCCCTGAATTTCTCTTATGCATTAGTGTGCATCACCAAACTGCAGCTCTGCCTGTAAGTGATTAACTGGTGTCTGTGTTGCCTTATTTCTTCATCTAGACTATGAACTCCTTTAGGGCAAGTACCGCCCACTTTCAGTTGTGGGTCTCAGTGCTCCTAGCAGTGGCAGGGCTTAGGACACCCATCTGCCCATCAGAGTGATGTAAAAACTGGTGGCGTCGCCCATATGGAAAAGCAGAAACTATTTTCTGGGCTACACTAGAAGCTTGATCCCTCCGGTTAGTCTTATGAGGTAGGTTTTAATAATCCCTACCCTTTTACAAAAGGCTAGAGGTTTACAAAAGAGGAAATGGAATCAGAGAGGTTAACTCATTTGCCAAAGGACACACAGCTACTAAGTGGTAGGGCTTGGATTTGAACTTTGCCACACACACATTTCAGAAACAAGGCCGCAGCTTCTGTTTTACTCAGGTATATGCAGCCTTCCTTGCACTCCTCCTTCCCACACCTTTCTCTCCTGCCTCCGAATCTGGATCTGCTCTGTCTAGCCCCAGGCCTGCTCCCTAAGGAGTCTTTCCTGAAGGAGCTACAAGCAGCGTTCAGCATAAATCAGAACTCACCCTCCTCATCCTCCTCAGTTCAGTCCAGTTGTTGACTATCTTGCTTCCTTCCTTAAATTATAAACTATGAAGTTAATCTTTTCCAAGTTTTCCTAGAAACTTGGTACGCTCAGCCTCGAGTGCTCATTAGTTTTGTGGATTGAAGTAGAAATGCTTTCAAAGAATCCTCCTCTGTCATGGGTTTATAGTAAATTACAAGACAGGCAACAGGAGAAAAAAGCCTCAAGATTTTGCCCGCCTCCCTGCTTTTGCCCAGATGTTCTCCTTTTCCTTCTGGTACTGCGGGAGGATCGGCAGCACCCCTATAGCCGGCCCTTCTCTCATCTTCTGCGTGCTGTCACTTGTTCGGAGACTGCTGTCCAGCAGCTCTCCCCTCTCCTCTGCGTTACCAGTGTTTCCTTCTCAGGTCACAGCAGGAGCACGTGAGCATGCTTTAAAAAAAAAAAAAAAAAAAAGCCACCTCATTTCTGTACTTGTCTTTATAGAAAACTCATGAGATGTCTCAACTCACTGTCCAAAATTCATCTCCCGTTTTCCCTCGAACCTGTTCCAGCCAGGCTTTCACCCTCGCCCCCTCCCTGAAATTGCTCCTGTCCCGGTCACCAGGGACCTGGGCTCTGTAAATTCCATGGTCGCCTCTCAATTCTCGTAAGGCTTTTCGCTCTGAAGCATCTGTCACTGTTCACTCCTTCCTCGAAACCCCTCTTCCACCTGGCTCCCAGGACATCCCAGCCTCCAGGGATCCCTCCTCGTACATTGGCTGTTTTTTCCTTTTACTGATTTCTCCTCATCGCCCCGGAACCGTTCTCAGTCCTTTTCTTTATATGCACTCCCTTGGGCCTCAGATACCGTTTACCTGTGCGGGCTGGTGACTCTTCAGTTCACGTCCCCAGCCCAGACCTCACCCCAGGTCTGCAGATTCAGTCGTCCACCAGTTACGTTCTCAGAACCTCCGCATGGCTGTCTGACAGTACAGCGTAAACTGTATTTGCCCAAACCCGAAATCCTGACGCGCACGCCACCCACCACGCACGGCGACTCGCTCCTCCCGGCTCGGCTGACGGCAGCTCCATCCTCCGTGTGGTTTGGGCCAGAAGCTCTGGAGTCACCGTCCTTGCCCTTTGCTTCGTTCTCACGTCCAGTCTGTGAGCAAACCCTGTCAGTCCTGCTCAAAATGTATTAAAGAAACTCACCGCCTCTGACCATTTCCATGGCGACCACCCTGCTCCAAGCCATCATCATCTCTCGGATGATTATTGCAATTTCTTCTTAACCCGGTTTTTTCTTTCATCTCCGCACCTCTGCAGGTGACTCCTAAAACAGAAGCCAAAACGATTCTTTCAAAACCTGTCCGACTTTGTCACTCCTGCGCACAACCTCCCAGTGATTTCCCATCTTACTCAGGGTAAAAGCAAAACCCTTATGAGGCCCTGCCTGATCTGGCTCTCCCGTTGCCTTCCTGACTGCCCTCCCATCCCTGTCCCTCCCGCTCCACGCCCAACCACGCCGGCCGCCCTGTGTGGTCCTCCAGCAGCAAGGTCTTCGTGCTCCGTGCCCCTCTGCCTGCTTGGCTCTTCCCCTGAGCGCGTGCGTGTCTTGCTTACTCACCTCCTTCAGGTCTTGGCTCACCTGTCACCTTTTCAGTGAGGCCTTCCCTGGCCACCCCATTAAGTATTGTAGAGTTTAGCCAGGATCCCCATCCGCCTTCTTTTGTCTCCCTTCCAAAGCACACGTCACCGCTTGACAAACCAGACATTTTGCGCGCACCTCCCCCGCTCACTGGGGAAGCTCCACGAGGGTGGGAATGTATGTCTGTTTCATCCATGATCCCCAAGGCCTAGAATCGTCCCTGAAACATGGTAGCCACTCCATGGTTATTTATTGAACAAATGAGGGAAGGGGTGTTTATGGGACATCTACCACTCAGGTCTTGCTGGTGGTAGGGGTACAGTGACAACTTCTATTGTTTTGGGGTCTGTTTGGGAAAAGAAATTCCCTCTCTGTGTTGTTCTGCTTTGGATTGGCATTTGCACCACTGGTATCGCAGCTAACAGGTTGGGCTTTGGAGTCCAGTGACCTGTGTGTGAACCCTGGCTCTCTGCTGTGTGATCAGAAAATATTAAAAATGTCCTTGCAGAGAAGTTGTGCAGAGTAGAGATAATTTAGTGCAGCGTCTGACACCTGACAAGGGCTCAGTGAGTGACAGCCGCTATCACGTCTGCTGTGAGCACCTACGGAGCAGATTTTCAGATTTCTCTGTTTGGGGGATTTTCTACGAGTCACAGCTGCCGTGACTCTGCAGGTTGACTTTGGTGGGGCCTCACGGTGCACGGAGCTGCGTCACCTGGAGACCCACAGCCACCTCCAGTCGTCTTGTTTTCCGTGTCTTCTCTCCTTACTCCCTTTAACTCCTCCAGGTGTTGTGTAAAATATATTTTTTACTCAAAATGAACTTAAATTAATTGTTCTGAAGAATAGTGATACTTTGGGTATGCCAACATTTACGTTGGGGTTGATTGCCCGTGATACTCTGCTGTGATGCGTCCGTGCATTGGCTCTGCCTCGAGTCCTTCGTAAGGCTGTTTGATGGTTTCTGCATAAACGTATCGCTGTTCGGGACGGTCTGCGTGTTCTAGTCAAGATCCGCTTGCCTTTGCAGAGTGGGTGTGCAGCGGGTATTTCAGTATTAGAGAGTGCGTGAGAGTGAGGGTGCCTGGCAGGGGACCGTGGTCCTCTTGGACAGGCTTTGTGAGCGGGAACCGGAGCCCCATCGAGCCAGAGAGACGCCTGTCTCCCACCGATGGTACTGTTGAATCAGGCTTTGAGCTGACAACCCCAAAATCCCAGGGTAGAAATTTGAAGGCGTTGTACGCATAGTTTTTAAAAGGCAACGTTTTGTCGCTCTCCCCCTACCTGCTCCCTCAGCACAGTGACCCCCCACTCTGGAAGGAGTATAGCAGTTTCTTTAAAAAAACTAAACATGCAGCCCTCATATGGCCCAGCGGTCACACTCCTGGGCATTTGTTCCAGGGAAATGGAGACCTGAATTCACACAGAAACCCATCCACAAGTGTTTGTTACAGCTCGGAAACAGCCGAGATGTCCTTCAGCGGAGGAATGGCTAAACCATGGCACGTCTTAACGTGGAACACTGCTCAGTAGCGAAAAGAAACAGCTACTGAGGCTCACGACCGCATGGCTGAATCTGCAGAGAATTATGCTGAATGGGGAAAAAAGCCAGTCCCGAAAGGTTACATACTAGGTGATTGCATTTCTCTGACATTCTTGAAATGACAAAGTTGTGGGAGTGGAAACAGATTCTGATTGCTGGGGAGGCGTGAGGGCCGGAGGTGTGGCTGCAAAAGAGCAGCACGAGGGATCTCCGTGGTGACGGAAATGTTCCTCGCCTTGACTATTTCAGTGTTAATGTTCTGGCTGTGACATCGGCTGTAGGTTTGTACAGTGGTACTACTGAGGGAAGTTGAGTAAAGAGTATGGGGGATCTCAGTGTTATTTCTTTTTCTTTTTTTAATTTTTTAGAGAGGGGAAGGGAGGGAGAAAGAAAGGGAGAGAAACATCACTGTGTGGTTGCCTCTCGCACACCTGGGGTCCCGGCCCACAACCCAGGCATGTGCCCCAACTGGGAATCAAAATGGTGACCCTTTGGTTCACAAGCCAGCATGCAATCCACTGAGCCACACTGGCCAGGGCATTTTTTATCTTTTACACTGTATTTTTATTGTACCATTTCAGTGTTTGGGCACACAAATACCACTGTTACAACTGCCTGCGGCAGTCAGCGCAGGAGCGTGTCGTGCCGGCTTGTGGCCTGGGAGCAGCGGCTGCACCTCATGGCCAGGTGTGCAGGGGCCGTGCCCCCAGGTGTGTGCGAGGGCCTCTGGGGTGTTCGCACAGGGACGCGGTGGCCTAACCATGCATCTCCCAGAGCGTAGCCCGTCACTATACAACACGTGACTGTCTGAAATGAATTATTCCTCATTAAACCTCACCAAAACCGAAAGATTGGGGGGCACTGAGCAAGCAAAAGTCTGCTGGAGCTATCTGGGGGAGCCTTTTCTTTTCACTTTCTCTTAAATGCCACAAGGTGGCATTGGCCTAATGTTCCTGTCGGTTTACAAAATGGAGTCCCTCCTGGAAAATGTTCATTTGTAAAACTGACTTTCCTTGTACTAATGATCTTAGCCAGCCTGGTGATAAGGTAAAATACAGCTTCATCTTCGCCTTCTCTCTCATTTTCTTCAAACATTTTCTTGCATGCTGAGGGCTGATATTTGTATTTTTAGCTTCACTTATTTTGGGGCACTTTTGGCCAGCAAGTAACACACACCATTACCTTCTTTTTTTTTTTTAACAGATTTTTAAAAAGATTTTATTTATTTATTTTTAGAGAAGGGAAGGAAGAGAAAAAGAGGAAGACAAACATCAAGGTGTGATTGCCTCTAGTGCGCCCCCTGCTGGGGACCTGGCCCACAACCCAGGCATGTGCCCTGACTGGGAATTGAACAGGCTGGCACTCAATCCACTGAGCCACAGCAGCCAGGGCTTCTTTCTTGTAATAGCAGTTAACCTTCAGAGTCCTTACTTTCTGTAACAGTTTATAAGGGAATTAGCTAGCCTGGAATGTAGTCTGAATTTTCCATTGTAAACGCTGGGGTTTGGCGTGTACGTGCTGTGTGGGCTGACAGGACCCTCCCCTCCCGCCGCCACAGCAGAAGCTTCGAGGACCTGGTGTGGCCTCGGCCAAATGGAAAAAGGCTGCGAGGGCTATGGGATCGGGGCGGCGTGGCTCTTGACTCGGGGTGTTTCTGTTTTACTTTTAGTGGCTTGGTAGAGGTTGCACTGTTCAGCCTTTTAAAGTACATTTAAAATAAACCACATTTTTACGCTAGTATAACGCTCCATTTTTGCTCTTTTCTTCCATCTTTCCTAACCGTGGATTGCGTTGCTCTAAGCAAAAGCCTGGACCAGGCACACTGGGGGATCTAAAATATAACCTGCTCCGTGTTCTGAAGGCGCCTTTCATGTGTCAGCCCGACTGGGCCGTGGGGCGCCCAGAGAGGTGGTCAGGTTATTCTGCGTGTTTCCGTGAGGGTGGTGGTGGCTGAGCTTAACATTCACATCGAAAAACTGAGGGATGCTGAGTGCCTGCCCTTACCCGGCCAGGGCAAGGGCTGACGGGAACAGAGTCCCTCTTACCCCTTCACATGCGAGGGGGCTCCTCCTGCCCACGGCTGTCAAACCGTGGCGTCCGGCCTGCTCCTGCCTTCGGACTCACACCGGAGGTGCCGTCCGCCCTCCTGATTCCCAGGCCTCCAGGCTCGGACCGGGTCTGCCCCGTTGGCTCCCCTGGGCTCCCAGCTTTCCGACCACAGGTCTTGGGGTGTGTTGTCCTTCATAATGACATGAGCCAGCTCCTCGCTGCAAACCTACTTATTTTTAATCTACGTATGTGTACGTGCATTCGTATGTCCATGTGTATACGTATGCACGGTTGGTTCTGTTTCTCTGGAGAACACCGAGACGCATGCCCTCAAGGAAGTTAGAGTGTACAGAGAAGACAGCACCCAGAAGGGGCCTGGGCATATTCCCAGCTGACCGGGGCAGCACAGTGTCGAGGAGCACGCGTTTTGGCGTCAGGCAGACCTGGATTCCAGCCCTGTGTCCGCTCATCAGCTCCGTAACCGTCGGCCCATAACCTCGCCTCTGAGCCTCATTTCTCTCATCTTTAAAATGCAGATTCAGCCCTGGCTGTGTGGTGCAGTTGCTTGAAGCATTGTCTCATACACCAAAGGGTCGCAGGTTCGACTTCCAGTCAGGGCACGGACCTGGGTTGCGGGATCCATCCTTTGTGGGGGCGCCTGAGAGAGTTAACCGATTGATGTTCTATGTCGAAGTTTCTCTCTCCCCCCACTTCCTGTTTCTCAAATCAATAAACATATCCTCAGGTGAGGATAAAAAACAGTATTAAAATGCAGATTCAGTGGAGTACTTCATATAAAACATTTAGTATAGTACCTGGCAATAATAAATAGTGGCTTTAAAAATTAGTGTGAATTAGCACATCTGGCATATGGTAGATGCCTGATATTTTGTTGGACATTCAATGGCTGCCTTTTCCAAGAAGACTGTGTCAGCAGTGTGTGGGATTGCATCCAGTGTTGCCGTTTACGGTGCGGCTAATTAGGAGGATTTGTCTTGCATTTTTAATATTTCTTTCCTTCTTGTGAACTTCGTCAACATTAGGCCTGCCGAGGGGCCCAGACAGCCGCAGCCACAGCTCCCCGCATCAAGAAGTTCGCCATCTACCGATGGGACCCGGACAAGACTGGAGATAAGCCTCGTATGCAGACTTACGAGATCGATTTGAACAAGTGAGTGTCTCTGCAGGCTGGGCATTCGATGAATGGAGGTGAGCTCTTCTGATTCAGGGACGTGCTTTCTGCATCCTGGAAAGTTTAAAACTAAGATCATCAGTGGCTCTGGAATGTGTCCTGTTTTTGAAACAGGAATGAGGTGGGTGCCCGATTCAAAACCTAGGTATCGGTTTTCTGTCGTAACAAGTTACCACAAAGTTAGTAGCTTGAAACAACCTAGATACCTTACAGTTCACAGGTTAGAAGTCCAGTCGAGGGCTTATCAGACCACAGTTGAGGTGTCGGTGGCTGTGTTCCTTTCCCGAGACAGGGACCATCCATTTTCTGTTCTTCGTGCTGTTCCTCGTGGCTCTGAGACCCAGGTCCCTAATTCCCATGTCAGCTGGGAGCCGAGGGCCGTTCCAGCTTTCAGAGGCCGCCTCCGGACTCCTGGTGCCCCTCTTCACAGCCAGGCAGTGGGCTGGGTCCTCCACACCACGTCTCTTTGACGTACTCTTTTTCCGTCATTTCCGCTTTTAAGGATCTCTATTGGTAGCCAAAGGAAATAAGGCCTATATGGTCATCTTTTGTTATAAAGAACATTTTATTTTTTTCTCAGATACTGGAGTAGCTCCAGAAAAATAACAACAGGTCAAATGGGTGTCTTTCGTTAGTCACGACAAGCCCCTTTCCAGCCCCGGGGTGAGGGCTGGTTGCTAGGGGAACCAACCATGTCATTAGGGGGGTGGCACTGTCAGCCCCACCCCGACCTGGGAGGGAAGAGGGGCTAGAGGTGGAGTCAGTCACCAGTGTCCAGTGATGTAATCAATCGTGACTGTGGAATGACATCTCCATAAAAACCCCCGAAGTGTGGGATTCCTCAGAGCTTGGGTTGGTCAACTCATGGGGGGCTGGAAGCGCGGCTCCCCTTCCCACCCACCTTGTCCTGTGCAGCCCTTTCATTGGCTCTTGCAGAGTGGTATCCGTTCATAATAAGCCGGCGGTCTAGTAAGTAAAGCGCTGTTTCTGAATTGTGTGAACTGCTGTAGCAAATTGTCAAGCCCAAGGACAGGGTCATGAGAATCTCCACTTTATAGCCATTCGCTCAGAAGCACAGGTGACAGCCTGGCCGTGCCATGGGCATCTGAGGGGGAGGGCTGGGGAGGGAGGGCAGTCTCGTGGGATAGTCCTCAGCCTCTGGGGTCTGATGCTTGTCTCCAGGTCGATGGTGTCAGAACTGAGTGACATGTGGGACACCCAGCTGGTGTTGTGGAATTGCTTAGTATGGGGAAAAGACCCACATGTTTGGTGACCAGAATTGAAGTATTCAGAGCAAGTAGTAGAGAGAAGGAAACTGAAGAGTTTTCCCTTTGTAAGGTGATAAGCTCAGTCTTTTTTTTTTAATCCTCACCCAAGGATATATTTATTGATTGGAGAGAGAGAGGCATCAATGTGAGAGAGAAACATCAATCTGTTGTTGCCTCCCGTACATGCCCTGACTTGGAATCGAACCTGCATTTTGGTGTAAGGGACAGCATTCCTACCAACTGAGCCACCCAGCCAGGACAATAAGCTCAGATCTTTAAAAAAAACCAAAACTTCTCAGGACCTCAGTAAACAGAGTCAAAGAACATTTGCAGACTGAGTCCATCGGAATGAGTCTGTTAGAGGAGCCCTCGAGGAGGGACCCTCTAGAGGACAGGCATCCTCAGCTGTTTCGTTCTCTGGTGTGTCTGCAGCACCTAGAAGGGAACTTGGCCAGAGAAGACTTGCACTGAGTAACTGGCGAGTGAAGAAAAAGTAATGAATTCATGACAAATACTCAACCTTAGTTAGTTAGTGAGTATTTAGAGATTACCAAACACTGATGATGATAACACCTCCATTCTCAGAACAGCAGAGGTTTTTAAAGGTTACGGTTTCCATTGTTGGCAGAGGCACAGTGAAAAGGTGTGACATGTTGCTGATAGGAATACAGACAGTGCAAGTGTGTTAACTAACCTTATTGTGCTCATCATTTCACAACTTACACATGTCAAATTATCATGTCATATACCTCAAGCTTACACAGTGTTATTTGTCAATTTTGTCCCTGTAAAGCCAGGGGAAAAGAAGTACAGACGATGCTCATGGATATTTGGGGAGGGGGCATATTGTTTTAAATCTCATGCATAGAAAAATACCGAGAGAGATTGAGTGGCAACCAGGAAATAAGTTTTGTTGAGCACTTCTGGGTGCTCAACATAAAAATTATGTGTTTTTAGTTCATCTTCATTGTAATCCTGTGATACAGTATTAACTCCGTTTGACAGATTTAAAAAACTGAGGCTCAGAGACAGGAAGCCACTTGCACAGAATCACGTCTCTTTGTGCGGACAGTCACGGTTGAACTAAGTGCATGCGGCGACAGTCCTCTCCTGTTCGTTTCCCCATGTATGCACTCACCGCAGCAGTCCTGGGGGCTGTAGGTGCTGCTCTCTGTGCTTGTAGATGGGAAGCTGGTTGAGGGATTTGCCTGTAACCCAGGAAGCGCCCCAGCAAGGTTCAGACCAGGCTGTCAGATGCCAGGCCTGCATCTGGGCTCCCGGCCAGGGCTGCTGCCCTTCACCTTGTCGCTGCCCCCACGTGCATGGGGCACTCGGTGCCTTGGATTAAGGGACCATGGGTGACTTATTTTGTGTTATTCTCTGTACTGTGTTTCTATTACAATTATACATTATTATTATTATTATTATTATTATTAATGAGCCATTGAAAGCCACTTATTGTCTGGATTCTAAAAAATTTTAAATTTGAAATAAACTCTTTGGGAAAGCTTTGCAGGGAGCTTTAGAAGGAGAAGACAGGAACTGCCACTCTATGGAGGTCGTTTCCTAACCGAAATACTTTTTTCTGTAGCTTTCTGTTTCCTGGAAGTGTACATTCAGTGTGATCACCAAAATAGAACTCTGCAGTACTCGGTGTATAAGAATGTGCAAAAATAAAACTCTGGGGAAAGTGTGAACGTGACGTGGGAAAGTGTGAAGGCCCGATGGCTAATAAAAGCAGCTAATACAGGCAGATGTCTCATCGTATTATGGTAAAAGTGTGGAGAGATTGAACTTCACATAAATACATCTGGGTCTTCTGTTGTTTTGGTTTTGGTCAGATGTGGTCCTATGGTGCTGGATGCTTTAATCAAGATTAAGAATGAAATTGACTCCACCTTGACCTTCCGAAGATCGTGCAGAGAAGGTGAGCACTTCCTTCCCCGTTCAGTCCTGCACACCTGGCTCGGGCCCCCGAGAGGCCTGGGCCGGCCAGGGCTCTGCAGGTGACCTTGCCGTGCGGTGCACTTCCTTTTTTGGGTAAATGTCAGAAATTTTAGCTGCGGGACAACTTCTGGTTTCCTTTGGGAGCTTTCTGTCGCATGGTTGCCGCACCTGGCAGTCCCCGAGAGCTGCTGCACCCTGTGAGGACTTGCCCAGGTACGCCAGCTGGCCACCTCTGCTGTGCAGCGCTCACTTGTCAGGGGCAGTGCAGAGTGCCTAGCTAGTGCTTCTGCACACTCAACATTCGTCCAACAGGGAAGGCGCGTGTGGCCGCCTCCGGCTCCCAGCGTTACCTGTGCAAAGAGCAGGTGCTCGGTAGGAATGTTCTGGAAGGGAGCAGCGTGTCCATAGTATGCTGCTCATGCCACGCGAGCTGATTTCAGGCAGTGTGCTTACCAACACATTTTACTTTAATAGCTCTGTCTTTATTCACATATTAGAAAAATGTGATTACTGTTGAGAGTAGCAGTGATATGAATGGTTTTTCAACGTGAATTTAAGTAAAAATGATTTGATTTAAATAAAACTCCTAAATAATCATTCAAGGGGCACTCAGATGTGCCTGAAACCATGCAGGGCTCTCTGAAGGCCATCTGGCCGCGGTGGCCGTAGGGCACAGTCCGCGGGCCCGGCTCCCCTCAGAGACAGACGGGGGCCCTGCGTATTTACCCCCGTGTGCAGACGGACTGAGGCCCGGGGAGGCTAAGGGACTTCCAAAGGGGCCCCTAGGCGGTGAGTCGGGAGCCGAGAGCCAGCCCGAGCTGCCAGACGCCAGAACCGCACTCAGGCGGTCCGATCCGGCCGGGCGTGGAAACCTGGGACAAAACCAAAGCAGCGTAGCTCGGGCCGGGACCAAGGGCTGGGTTTGAACTTTCGTCCTAAGATAACCTTTCAAAAAGGAGAAGTCGCTATGGGTATTGGCCCACCGCTTTTTAAGTTTTTTCTGCTGTGCATTTCAAGCGTTTGAAGTCCTATTTCTAAGACATCTGTTTTGATTCAGCTAATCTTACAGGATTGGATTTAATGTAGCTAATGCTGACAGTTACTACGATAGTTTGTCTGAGCCCTGCTGTTCAGGGAACGTTCTGCTGTGATTAAACACCAACCTTCCCCACATAAATCCTGACAACACAGGAAATATGGATGCTTTCAGTAACCTTTCCCCATAAGACGCTTTCGGAGCCAAGAACATAAGGTGTGGCCCATCTGGACTGAAATAAATGAGGCAGAATGATACTGACTACCACTCTTTTTTATTCCCTTATTGCTAATTAAGAGAATTCCTAAGGAAGACTTTTTACAAGAAGATTCATTGGATTTATTTTTTAAATTATATACCATTTCTTACAAAAACACACTGTTCCAGTTGATTGCCAAGCATACATGAATACAGTGGCGATATATATTCAGTCTCTTGAGGAGTGTTTGCCTACGACCTGAAGAGGAGAAGAGTTCTGATGTTCTCTTACGCTCCTAGCGGGTCCGGGAGAGGGAGGGGATTCTCACGGAGCGGCGACCCAGCGCACGTCTCACCAGCAGTCACATTTCTCCGGCCTGGTGGTGGAAATGCGGCTTCGGAGAAGTGGCACTCCGGGTTTACCCTGCACAGTCATTTTTAAGCTCTGAAATACCCAGGACATGTCCATGCACAGGAAATGAGTCCCGGCTAAGGAAGTTCTCATTTCGGGGCCCCTCCCTCAGTCACCAGCTCATTGTCGCTGGGCTTGCTTTGCTGTGGCCTCGCGTCAGTTCGTCATTCTCCGTGGAAAGTCGTGGCTCAGGCAGCCTCTGGGTTTCCCGCCCCAGGGCCGCCGCCACGCTGCTCGCTGTGTGGAGACGCCGAAGCAAGGGCTGCCTCTGGGTGATCTGTGCCCAGGCCTCAGCCTGAAGATGGCCGAGACGGCGCCGATTTGTTTTGGGGTGTTGTACGTCTTAGAGTTTGAGTGCAGGTGGCAGTGGCTTCCGAGGTCAGAGATGGGGCCTCTGGCCAGAGGCAGTGGCTTTTTTAGAGAACGGAGGCTGATGTTTCTCTCAAAATACGTGAAGCATGGAGCTGGGACTGGTGTCGGGAGCTCCGTGACACCAGCCGGACCCCAGGCTCCTCTGTCCTTCTCCGGTGCCATCCAGCCTCAAGGCTGCCTCGCGGTCACAGAATGGGTGTTGGGACTACAGCCGTAAGATCTGCATTCTAGGCAAGAAGGAGGAGGGGAAGAAAGAAAGGCAACAGGCCCCTCCGCCACTGGTGTGCTGCCGGCCAGCGTGGCTCCGGAGGGCAGAGCAGCTGCGGCAGCCCGCGGGGCCGAGTGCACGGCCGGGCGAGGGGCTCTGCGTCCGGGTGAGGACACGCACGATGGTTTTGTCCCCCAGGTATCTGCGGCTCCTGTGCGATGAACATTAATGGGGGCAACACTCTAGCCTGCACCCGAAGGATCGACACCGACCTCAACAAAGTCTCCAAAATCTACCCTCTGCCACATATGTATGTGATAAAGGATCTTGTTCCTGTGAGTTTCTGCACCCTCCCTCCCTCCCTCCCTCCCTCCCTCCCTCCCTCTCTCCCTCCCTCCCCGCTCCCCAATCCCTGCTCCCTGCTCCCCAATTCCCGTTCCCCGCCATATTGTTTGCAGAGGGAAGGGGAGGTATGTTCAGGTTATGCTATTAGTTCTTTTTTTTTTCCAATTAGAGAGAGGGGAAGGAAGGGATAAAGAGAGGGAGAGAAACATCAGTGTGTGAGAGAAACATCCATCAGTTGCCCCTTGTACACCCCCACCTGGGGACCTGGCCCACAACCCAGGCACGTGCCCTGACTGGGAATCAAACCGGGGACCTTTCGGTTCATGGGCTGGCACTCAATCCACTGAGCCACACCGGCCAGGGCACCGTTAGTTCTTAGGGCAGGCTTTTTTTCTGTCTGAATTTAATTAAGCAATTTGAATATTGGAAGATGAACACGCCTGGAAGATCTTCCAGCAGCTCGTTTGGTGAAGATCGGGGATAATGGACCAGAATTGGTATAGTCCCAGAAATGGAGAATTCGGCTAGAACTACACAGAAGTCACGTGGAAGAGACCAGCTGGGGAAGCGACAGTTGTTACACATTTCACTTTCTTTTCTGCCTCCCTGTACTTGACCAGAAGGTTTCCCAAGGGGGTGAGGCAGAGATTTCCTAACCACACTTAGCATTGCAACCATGTCTCCTTTTTGAACCTGTTTTTGTACCCCTGCCAAGGGAAGAGAGTCTGACCTCTCTCCATTGTAGAGCAGAAAACTAGGCTGGGAAATGGGGTAAAGGAGAAGGCTAAGGTGAGGGTGGCATCTGACCCATCTGCCCTTCCCCTCCCTCTTCCCCTCAGGACCTGAGCAACTTCTACGCCCAGTACAAGTCCATCGAGCCCTACCTGAAGAAGAAGGACGAGTCCCAGGGAGGCAAGCAGCAGTACCTGCAGTCCATAGAGGATCGGGAGAAACTGGTCATTACCCCTTCATTGTCTTGGTTGGAGGGGTTTCGTTGCACAGATGTTTCCCGGGAAGAGTGTCCTGCAGGGGTGGGGTGGGCAGCAGCCTGAGGTAATGCAGACCATTCCGTGTGACTTGGGAAGGAACTTCAGAAGCATCCGTCCAGGGCCGGACCCCCGTCCTCTCCGGGCCGGTGGGTAGTGTGGGTGCATGCCGGGCCGTGAGTGGACCAGGGAGCGGGGTGCCTGGGGCCTGAGGAGCAAGTTGTTACCATGTCGCCATGTGGTCTTTGCCTAAAGAAACCACGGGAATGGCCCGCTGACGGTGGAGTCGGCGTGGCACCGTAACACCAGGGCCAAATAAAACACGCTGCTGCTGTCTGCAGCCTGCCACCCCCGTCGTATAGGTGGAGATGAAATAGTCAATGGGTGAACTGGGGCTGGGACCTGGGTGTTGGTTCCCAGCACCAGCGTCTGGTGGTGGGTGCATTGCCTTCTCACTCTCTCGGAGTCGCCTTCTTGTGCAGAGGCTCAGGAGGCCTTGAACGTGAGGGGTTACTATCAAGTTCTCAGCCTCCTTGTCTTGCACCACTTTCGCCTCCTCTCGGAAGGTCTGACTGCATGCTCACCCCCCCCCCCCCCCGAACACTTAGAGTCCTTGTGAGAAAAAGAGGTGGGAGGGGGACTGAATGGAGACGGGTCCCAACAGTGTGTCTGTGTGGGGCCAGGGACACGTGCCGTGCGGCGGTCACCACCTCGTGTGCTCCCCGGTGTGGCCCTGGTCCTGGGAGAGCCCCTCACGCCCCATCTGTCAGCGGACGGAGCACAGCGCAGGCCCTCTGCCATGTCTTACCCTTCCTGGACCCCAAGACCCTGCCGCATGTTGTTTTAATGATAAACACTAGTCGTGTGAATGGAGAAGCGAATTCTGCCTTCTAGGTCTTCGAGAATATTTAGCCCCTCTCCTGTTCCCCATAAAACATTTAAAACGAGAGTCCTACTACGGCTGCCCAGCTCTGACATGGAGCCGCCGAGGGTCAGGACAGTGACGTGAGTCAGAGCAGCTGAGTCTTCTTCCTTCCCGGAGCCTCCCGTTCTCAGCACATAGCTCCGCCCCCCATTTCTAGCCCCCAGGGAGTCTGACGCGTCAGCGCCCCAGCCGCAGCTGGCCGCTCTGGCCCACCCAGTCACCTCTCACGCCCTGAGGGCGTGTGGCCGCCAGGCAGCCCCTCGACGTGGCGTCATCAGGGAACGAAGTGTTCCCCTGAACCAGGGTTCCAGATAATCAAAATTCGCTTGTTTACTTAGATTTTTCCCGTCCTTAAATCCATATGCTGAAGTGCCTTATTTCATGCCTTCAAAGGCCATCGCGCTCATTGTAGATAACCCGGAAAACCCGGAGAACTGGTTTTTAAGTCGTCTGTGGTTCCACCACCCGGAGATGACTCCTGCTGACCACCACCTTTGTTCTTTTTTACGTTACGGCACATTTTGTGTGGCTGGCGTCAAAATGTGACTATGCTTTTGTGTCAGCTTCCCCCCTCTTGCTCCTGTGCGCGTCCTCCCGTGTTCTTAAAAGCTCTTCGTGAGCATGAGCTCACGCTTCACTTTCCGTGGCTTCGGGTGCGTGCGTCACGTACTCCTCAGCCACCCCCTGTCGGGGAACAGTGAGAGTGTTTCCTCTTTGTCCCCTGCTACAAGTAAGGCTGGATAAACATCTTTATCTTTCCAGTTCTGTCCAAGAAATCTAACTTCTTGCTAGATTTTCTTCTGCAAGCAGACTAAAGGCTATGACTATAAGCAAGGCTCTTAACCCTGCTACCTTATGCCTTCCAGACCCGTGGGGCCAGCTTTCACTCTGACAGCTGCCGGAACAGAATGTAGACTTTATCAAGGTTTCAGGGTTACAATCAGGACATCAGCTCTTTGTCATCCGTCACTCCAGATGTCAGTGCACCCTTTGGTTCTCCTGCCTTTAATCAGTTTCTGTCCCTAAAATTGGGGAAGTCCAGTGCAGTGGAACTGGTTGGGCAGATAAAGTCAGCGCGGCAGGTGGTAAGGATCTGGGACTCCGAGTCAGGCTGCCTGGGCCCCACCCCAGCCCGGCCACACAGCGGTGTGACCGCGGGCAAATGGCCCGACCTCTCTGGGCCTTGGTGCCTTCCTGTAAAGGGGGACTCTGCTGGGATTATTGTGATAATCAGAGGACACAAAGGTGGCAAGGCGCACAGTGCTTGGTGCAGTTGGCCATTATTTAGGGTGAGGGTGGGTCCCACCGACAACCTGCCGTCTCCTCCGCTGAGCCGGGGCGGCGGCCGGTGTGCCCTGCCAGGCCCCTCGGCGCCCGGGGCCTTCCCCTCTCTCCAAGACTGTGTTCTAGGTGACACGCTTTGTTTTTTTTTCTCTTGTTTATGTTCATTTTTTTTTCTTTAGAGGAGAGAGGGATTATTGATTAAAAGACAAGTACATGGTCCGTGGACTTAAAAACTGGGTTCTGATCCAGCAAATGTTTACGTCCCAATTCCAAGACCTTTTTCATGACTCTAGTCAGTCTCTGCAAACCGCTCTGAGGACTTGGCCAAAGAAACTCTCACGCCAGTGGGCACTCGGTTCATGCTCTGAGCCCGAACATCACGTTCGTCAGCTGAGGAGGCGCAGGCTCTCCAGTCCCGGGTCCCTGACTGCCTTCCTCTCGCCACACAGGACGGGCTGTACGAGTGCATCCTCTGTGCCTGCTGCAGCACCAGCTGCCCCAGCTACTGGTGGAATGCGGACAAATACTTGGGGCCTGCGGTCCTGATGCAGGTACGGTGCTCCGTAATTGCTTTAAGTAAAGTCAAAACTCCAAGCTTCCAGAAATCCAAGCACATATCTCCCATCTCGTTCGAAGTTAGGCATTTGGAGGGGCGATGGCTTCCTTCATTTGCATGTGTTGCAAACAAGATCATAGATTGCATTGTCTTCCCTTGGCTTTCAGTAAGCCTAGGGCTTTACCTGCAAAACGCCTTTGTTTCAGTGTGGGGTGGCCCCCCAGGGTGGTCGCATGCTGCCTGCCACACCATGGCTTGCCCATATTTAAAATGTGTTTCCTGTGCCGCTGGCTCTTACCTAGCCACTCGCCCGCTTTCCCCAGACCGCATCTGCCGTGGCTCCCCACCTCCCGCCCGTGGGGAGTTTTGACATGCAAGCAGGGGAGAGAGAAGTGGCGTTGAGGGGCCACTGCCCAGCTGTCATGTTGGAGATTGTTTCCAGGCTGACGGAAGCCCGGGCCGCTGGGTTTAGGGCTTGCTTAGAAAGGAAAGGAGTATCGCTTTTCGTTGCCTTTCACTATATGAATAGTTCCCTGCGAAGAAAGTCACTGTCTCTGTTCCCAGATAGCTTATACCTTAGATTTGTGGTCAGTGCTTTCCACAGACTCTTAAGCAACTCAGAAAACAGCCTCTTGTGTCTCGTTTTCCCACAAAAAGAGAAGTTGCATGGTTGCATGTCCCTTTCGCAGTATAGAGTCCCAGCCGCGGTGGAGATTGATAATGAGGCACGGTCACAGTCGGCCCTTGCGCCAGGGGCCCGAGTTGTGGGGAGATGGGGCAGCCCTCCCAGGGCCACTGCCAGAGCTCCATGGGCCGCTGGTCTCAGGCCCCCGGGATGGATGTGCTAATTAAAAGAATCAGTCAGTGGAGGTCCGTGAAGTCATCAGTTTACTCAGAGACAGTGAGTAGGTGCAGTAAAGACGGGTGAAGGGTCATGTGACACAGCCCCTGCCTTCCCTAATTCATAATCTTGACAGGAAGCTAATGAGCAACTTAATAACTAGAGGACGATGCCTGAATCCGTATAATTAAGCACCAGGGTACCAGGTGCACGGTGGTTCAGAGGTTCGTGGGATCATTAATCAGGAAGAGTTTGACAGAGCTGGGAGCCTCTCCTTGAAATACGGCAGGAATTAAAGAGAGGAGAGACAGGGCGCCAGGGCGAGAGGACCCCCTTTCCTCACGCTCCTGGAGCGCTGAGCTGAACCAGAGGGCTGCCCTGGCCCTTGGAGCTGCCGGCCCAGCTCATCAGTCCCTGGTTCCCAGGCCTACCGCTGGATGATCGACTCCAGAGACGACTTCACGGAGGAGCGCCTGGCCAAGCTGCAGGACCCCTTCTCCCTGTACCGCTGCCACACCATCATGAACTGCACGAGGACCTGCCCCAAGGTACGTGGAGCTCGCGCCCTCGGCGCTGCCCAGGAACCGCAGTGCCCGGGGTGGCCTGCGCGTGAAGAGGCGGTTGGCAGAGAGCGAACTCGGTCAGTCGAGCAGGAGAGGGAACAGAGCTTGTTCCGCACAACCTTTGAGAGCTTACGCAGGCGGATTCCTGGTGGTAAGTCAGAGACTGCGGCCGTGGGTGGAACCTTGAGAGGTGCCTCACTAGCGTCGGCGCCGGCTGTCGTTACAGAAGGGATGTTCTCTCCTGGACAACTCCGAGCACTCAGAGAGCGGGGCTCTGCCCTGGGCTCGTTGTCCTGCTGCAGTGAGCACGCCGGCAGGAATAAAACGAGACTGGCCCCTTGCCGGAGAGAGAACCATCATGAGTGCCTGAAAGCAGAGACGGAAGGGAGCTCTTAGCACAGGCCGCTGAGTTTTAAAGGGCCTGCTTTGCATCCACTTGGCTTTGACACTGTGCCAGCTTGAGGGGGAGGCCCGCCCAAGGTCATGGACTTTTTACATTCAGTTTCACTGTCACTGGGTATTAATTTGCCTCTCTTTTTCAAGGGGCTGAATCCAGGGAAAGCTATTGCTGAAATCAAGAAAATGATGGCAACCTACAAGGAAAAGAAAGCTTCAGCTTAACTGTTCTGATGCTGAGCATGACTTGTATCCAGCTCAGCTGAACAGAATTTATATCTGATTTGAGTTCCTTCAAGGTCTTGATTTTCCATGACTACAGCATGTATAATAAAAATTTAAAAAATAATAAATGTTATTTTACTTTATTAACAAAAAAGCAAGCCTGCTCCTTTTACTTGCTGCAGGGGAACGTGAAGGTACAGAAGGAGGAGTCCTTCTCCTTGAGGAGGGTCCAGGGCTCCAGCACTGAGCCGCTGGGGATAGGGTGGGCTGGGGTGGGGCCCAAGGGCCTAAGGGCCCAAGGGCCCAGGGACCTAAGCACGGAGCCCACGTCAGGCAGGGCCTGGGGCTCACTCCTAGCTCTGCTATTTCCCCGCTGGGCAACTGTGGGCAAGTTCCTTCTCTTTGCTACTTCCGCCACCCGTCTGTACAACAGGAGTCAAAACTGCTGTTTTGACTGATCACTCCCCCGCCCCCCAGCACTTATCCTGAGTGCTCAGCATTCCAATGACCGTCAGTATTAGAACTGTTTAAAACCAAATCTTGGTACATCTTTTATCTCCTGGAGGCAAGGTTCGAGCTTCCTCCAGCCTGGAGCACTGACCCAGACCAGCTGTGAGCTCGAGTTAGTCCCACAAGTGACCTCAAGGGACCTTGTACCACAAGTGTGAGTCCCCGCCATTGCTGCCTTGGCTCCGACACAGAATACAAAGGCTGTAACACTCACTGAAACCACAAACTGCAAAAGTAGGGCAAGTAAACAGTGGGAGCCCCCGGAGTCCTGCGCCCCCCGTTGGCGGTTTATAATTTCCTTCCAGACCTTCTGTGTTACAAACGTGCGGCAGACATAAAACGTTTTCTCTGCAACAATAGAGCATGATACAGTCTGCTGGTAGCTTTCACTTTTTCCATTTTTTTATTGTAAAACCAAAAATGTATGATGTTAGGCATTGTAAGTGTGCGGCTCAGTGCTATCGAGTATACTTACGCTATTGCACAACATTCTGTCCCTGTTCAACCCTGACTCACCAACCCCCGCCCCGGCCCCTGGCGGCCACCGGTCAATAGTGTTTTCTGTTTCTGTGGCTGATTACCACATGAGGGGAACCACACAGTATCTATCTTTTTGTGACATTTTCAGTTAGCACGAAGTTCTCACGACTCATCCGTGTTGTAGCATGTGTCAGAATTCCCTCTGTGGACGGAAAGGGGTTCTACGGAAAGTCACCTCCCAGGGCGATCTGATCATTGATTGCTACGCGGGCAGGTCACGCCCTGTAACTTCCCCTGCCTTCAGCCAGCCCTGACCATCCTTCCTCTGCACCCAGGTTAACTCGCCTTTGCAGTGCCCCCTTTCAGACCCCTCCCTGCTGAAGCACGACCCCGCTGCAGAGCACGTGCTCCAAACTATCCTGTAACTGGCCCACTGACTCTGCCACTTCTGAGTAATCTTCCTTACCTTCCTCCTTAATGTGTCAAAGACACTGCAGACTCTTCACTCTCCAAAGCATTTATCTCAGTCTGTTGAGATCTTGCTTCCAGGGGTAACTTCTGTTTGAGTCAGATTTTTATAAAAATCCTCTACAGGTTTGGACAGTCTTAGGTGGACACAATGCATGTACATATCATGTGTTATTTATCCATTGGTCCCTTGATGGATGTGTGTGTGTGTGTGTGTGTGTGTGCGCGTGTGTGTATAAAATGTATTTTCTGCCTTAGCCTTTTTAACCACTGGTTACCTGCTGTAGGGTGCAGATGCACTGTAAGTTATTTGACCATTTCCCCTGCTAATTCACATTGGGACAGACCCTATTTTCACTCTTAGGAATGCCCCAGAGCTGCTTTTTAAGTGGTAGCAGTGAAGTCACCCAGGGAACAAAGGCTGCTTGTGTCAGGAGGCAGGTGGCTGAGAAAAAGTTCTGACTCACTGAGAAGGAACCGAATGAGGGTTTCTGGCTTTAGCTTTGCAGGCCAGACGCCTTCATGGTGGTATGGTCTAACAAGCTAGCGTCGGCTGCATTTCTGGCTTTTTAAAGGAGAAATTCAAAAGCACTACTCCCCAGCACCCCCAGAGGAAATGCTGGTATAAAGATGAACAAGATTTGTTCCCTGCCACCTAGGAACCGAGGTTGCTAAGAAGAAAGGAACAAGTGTAGAATTAGAATTTTAGAGAACAGGGCTTTTGCCCTTAAGACTAGCATCTCAGAATTCTGGACCACCTCACTAAAGCGGTAGGTACACAGACCTCTGGTGCTTCAGCTCAAAATTCAAACACGAACTGAAAAAACCTCAGGCAGACTCCCATGCCGCGTGCCGGGAGGGAAGTAGGGCAAAAGCCACACCTTGTTGATTTCGGATAGCCTCAGGAAGGCCGCATTCCTCCGATTCAGGAAAATGTGACTTCACTTCTAATCTAGATCTGTAGGGAAAGACAGGTTTTTCTCGCAAATAACTTCAAGGCTTGTAAAGAGGAGTTCTGCAACCCCAGAGACATAAGAGGCAGGGGATGGTGGGCAGCTGCCACTTCAGATCAGTTTCATCAGATGCCGGGTTTGCAACTGCCGTTCACTCGTTCACTCGCTCTATTTAAACTCCAGCTAAATTGGAATACGTTATCAACTCAGTGTCATTTACTGCGCATTTCATCTTTGCTTGCATTGCAAGCAGATGTTCTGTTTCAGCAGTCACGAGGACTCTCCTAGGAAAACCGCAGACCTGGCCAGAGAAAGACAGTATTTTATCCTTTTTTAAAAAAGATTGTATTTATTTAGAGAGAGGGGAAGGGAGAGAGAAAGAGAGGGAGAGAAACATCGATGTGTGGTTGCCTCTGGCATACCCTGTGCCAGGGACCTGGCCCAAAAGAAACCCAGGCATGTGCCCCAACTGGGAACTGAACCAGCGACGCTTTGGTTCACGGGCGTGCACTCAACCCACTGAGCTGTACCAGCCAGGGTGGTATTTTATCCTTTGTGCTCCTTCTGTGTCCTGACTGTGTCCAGGCGGTCTGCCTTCATTCACAAAATTAATATTGTGGGATGCTTCGAGTTCCCCTCAGACTGAAGCCACACATCTCTCCTTTTTTTTTCTAATTTGCAACTCACCTTTTATTATTCTTTTTTAAAAATATTTATTTATTTTTAGAGAGAAGGGAAGGGAGTGAGAAAGAAGGAGAGAAACATCAATATGTGTTTGCCTCTCATGCACCCTCCACTGGGGACATGGCCCACAACCCAGGCATGTGCCCTGACTGGGAATCGAACCGGTGACCTTTTGGTTCGCAGGCCCAAGCTCAAGCCACTGAGCCACACCAGCCAGGGTCACACATCTCCTTAACCAGCCTTTGGGCAATACTGAACCCCGGCACCCGTTTTCCCATAAAATGGGAATTAACAGCGTTCACCTCTCAGCACTACTTATGGCTGTAGTCTAAATAACAATAAATGTAAGTTCTCGCAGAACAACACGAAAAGAAACTGAACGTGGCAGGCGATGGATGGATCGATGGGGGTCACCGTGTGCAGGTCTACCAAGTCCTCGTCTCGCACACTTTAAATAGCTTACGGTTTTGTCAATTCTGCCTCAATAAAGCTGAACATTTTCATGAATAAATACTTAACACATATTAATGATCAAACAATAAGTGGAAAGCATCTAACCTCAGTGGAGCAAATGCCCCACGAACTCAGTGTAACCAAGTGGTCTCTAGCGCGCATTGTGGGGAAGGCCTTCTGTGGAAGGCCGCAGGGACTGCAGAGGTGGTTCGTTGCCAGCCCTCCGGCCAAGCTGGGATGCTTCTGGCATGACTGGCCACAGGCAGAGACGGCCTGTTCGGAGGACGGTTTCTCTGTGCAAGGCTCCTGATGCCCGTGTTTCGGCTCCTGCGACACCCTCACGCGGGCTGCTCGGCGCTGGGAGGAAGTGCCGCCAACGGACCCCCCAAGTCCCTCCAGCGCCTTCGCCTCTTCACCCAGGAAACTCCGAGACGAACTGCTGAAACTCCACTTTGTGTGTTCAGACAGCCAAAATCTTGTCACGGGGTTTGTCACTAGGTAAGAAAAATCCCTTTTGTTGCAGAAATCTAGTGAAATCTCGAAAAATAGAGAAGTGAGGCAATGCTCTAGAGTCTAGAATAAACCAGTCCCAAAGAGTGACTTGTCAAGCCTTTGCCAGGCATATCATGTCCTTCCTGTGGACCCCCAAGAGAGCAGCAACCCCAGAAGGAAAGCTCCTCCATTGATCCTGGCCCGCAGGTGACAGGGGCCCAGCCCGCAGACGGCTGGGCTCAGTGACCACACAGCAAGAGCCACTTCCGCAGAGGTAAAACTTGGGTGGATGGCGGGGCCTCCCACATCCTCTGTGGTTCGGAGGGAAGCTTCCCCTGGCCTCCTGCCCCGTCGAGGTGATGGGCCAAGGGGCAGGTCCTGCCCAGATGGCTCAGAGGCGGCGGCCTCTTCAATGCCAGGTGGCGTTAACAATACGAAGGGTAAGGAGACCAGTCTTGTGTGCAGCCCCCAAGCCCCCTCTTTTAGGAAACTTCTAGCCAGCGCCGATCTAAAGAAAGTAACTGGCTCTATCACACACCTGCCATGCCATTTCATCTTCACAACAGCTTTCATTTTACCAAGGAAGAGTGCGGCTCACACGGCCAGACCCAGGTGTCCCTGGTGTCAGGGCCCAGGCCCTTGCTGCTGTACCATCCTGCCTCTTGGCAAGGCCACCCGAGCAAGTCGGCTTTCTAAATCCAGCCATCCTGCCTACTGTGAGGGGTCTGAGTTCCCCTGGTTACCTAAGCGGTCAGCGGGGGATTGGGCTAAGCCCTGGGAGAGAAAATGGGGACTCTGAGAAGGTGTAAGTAGCCTGCCCCAACTGGAAATGTCGTCTACAGAGGAAACAGTTCTTCTCACCTGCACTGAGCGAGGCCAGTGCATCCATCCCCCGCTGCTGGTCAGCCCGCTCCCCGCCAGCAGCCTGCCCCAGCTCAGCAAATGGCTCCACTGTCCCCAGGCCACTCAGACCAAAAGCCTGGGTGCCATCTTTGATTCCACACATCCCTGTACCTCCCCACCCCGTGCGTCAGCAAGTCCTGCCAACACTTCTCCTTCACCAAATGTGTTTACTGAGCCCTTGGTATGTATGGGGCGTGACCACGGACTTCCC